CACTCTGACACGATTCTCTCTCCTGTCCTTATTTTTTTCTTCGTCTCCTCCTCTCCTCCTCTCCTCCTCTCGTGACTTACTGTCCCGCTTGCTTTATCTTTTTTTTTCTGTCTCACGACTCAGATTTTCCTGAAATGCCTCCTGCAACCCTCCTCTCATTTCACTCTTCATCCTCCTTTTCCTTTTCCACTTGTCTTTCGATCTGTCTCTGTCCATTTTCACAGCCCCCCCCCCCCCTGATCTTTGCCCATTTGTCTCTCTCTGCACGCCCTCTTAACTCTCAGAAGGCCACTTTTGGCTCTAACAGCCAGTTCATCGTCGATGAGGCATTTCCTCTTCTCTCGCTCATCGTTCTTCCATCCATCCATTCCTCAAATCTCTCTCTTCCCATATCTGCTCTGTATTCAAACCCACAGCAACCATTTCTCCCCCTCTGCTTCACCCTCTTCCTCTCGTCCTCCTCAGCTGCTCTCCCTGAAGACAGAGCAGATGCAGCCAGGCAGAACAGCCAGCATGTTCCCATGTTCTCTTGCTCCAGCTCTGCGGCTGCAGCAGCCCTCCTAACCCTCTCAGTTTCTCTCTCCATCAGCCCCTCTCCTCTCTCCTGTGTTTCATGTTCACCGCGCACACACTACATTTCTATGTATCGTACTTTTTGTTTTAGCTTTTTCAATTTCTTCTGCCATCCAAATTTTCCTCATTTTCGTTCAGTTTCTATATCCTTCCGTCCTTCCTTCCTTCCTTCCTCACACTGTGTGTCTCCTCTGCCTCCTTTTCCCTTCCCTTGCCCCCTGGCTTCATCCTTGGTCTTTGCATCTCTCTTCTATCTCACTTCCCCGCCTAAACATTGCTCGAGGCCTTTCTTATTTTATTCTTCACCAAGCCCTTCCCTCGTCTATCTTTCCCCCATGTGTGTGTTTTTTTTTTTTACCACAAACAATATTGCTTCTCAGTTTCCTCTCTCTTTCTCCCAAATGTTTGCTTCCTCTCTGCTCTAAAACTACTCTCCAGTAATTCCTCCTCTTCTTGCTCGATTGTTCCAGACTCCTTGATTCGTGTCAGTGTCCCATATGGGTTCATGATTATTGTAATGACTCTTCTGCCTTCTCACTTTGCCCGCAGCCTGTCACGTCATGTAGGAAGGGTACTTTAAGGGCCAGCGGCTGAGTTTAAAAAAAGGAATAAAAGTAAGCTAATTTAAATAAAAGTCAAAGACACAAAGCACTTCTTGAAGTCCGTGTCTGTGACTTCAGATATTTTGGTCTTTATGATGCTGCTATTTTCTGCTGTTTGCTGTCTCTTTTGGCTCTTTGTTTTCCCTTTAAGGTCACACTTAAAATAAAACACCCCTCCGTCTGAAGCGTCAGGTAACGTTCTAGTTCAGGCTTCTGTGTGACGTCTTCACATAAAAATCTTTAAATCGTTTCTTCACAATAACTGCTTCGGACTTCTGACGTTTTCTAAATATTGACATTTCTAATAATAACAATTTGTTTAGGGTTTCACATCTGCACTCATGGAAATATCTAGCTCATTTCAGGAGGACTGCCTCTAAAATCCTCCTGACCTGCAAGTAATTAGAGCAGGGAGATCATAGCGGTGGCGTTATTTTTTTAAGTCCTTAAAGATAGAAAATTCTGACCACAGTATCAAACATAAATCTAGCTGCATGCCGTGTTCTTCATGGTAATTAACTGAATCTGGGAGCTGATTAAGAAACAGTCACAGTATGATCGTAAAGTTTCAGGCAAACTTGTGAACCATTACTTATCTGCTGAGTGAATCACCGACTTACAACTCTCCTCCACCTAAAAATGGACTTTACTTTTAGCTTTTCAACTCTGTTATGGTAGCAGATGAATTAATCAGTGATTTCTGCTCTAGAGGCTGTTGTATACATTCATCTGCTGAAGCATGCTCACCTAAAATAAGATTTTAAAGGTCACATTCTGCAAAATCCACTTCAACATGTTTCTCTAACACTTATGTGTCCTTAGTCTGTCTACAAACCCCCCAATGATAAGAAAAGTCCATCCTCTCCGTCTTCTGCCTGCTCCACTTTTCAGAAAATGTGGGCTCAAACAGGCCGTTTGGAGATTTTCCCTTCATGACATCACAAATGGCAGTAACCCCTCCACCAGGTGGGTGACACTCTCACAGCTAGGTGTTTGTTCTGCCCTCTGAGTCTGCCTTCTCACCGTAAACAATAGGACATGGAGCGAGAAAGCCAAGACACCCGAGCCCTTCCAGAGAGGGGGCGTGGTCAGACACAGCTCATTTACATTTAAAGGTACAGACACAGAAACAGTCTGTTTTGATCAGGGCTGAAATAGAGGGGTTTATAGACATAATCAAATACAGGATCAGAGTGGATTTAGAACAAGAAACTTCACAGACATGTTTTGAGGAGCTCTGAGACTTATTCAAACTGGTTGAAGAAGAGGAGAATATGTGACCTTTAATATGTGTTCTATGAGCTTGGGTTGTGCTATGAGCGCTAGTTTGGAGGCGTAGATGTGAAATGTGAAAAATTGAAACATCTAGTGCACACCCTTTGCAAAGATTTCACATGCATCTCATGTTCTTCATCTGTGTTTGGTGTTTGACAAAGATGAAAAAGGGGGGTCATGCTGAAGAAAAAGAGTTAAGTGCATAATGATTATTAAGCAACACAGGAAGCAACAGAAGCTTCTGTCGTGATTGAAATGGTAATAATTGCGTGGAGAGAGAACTCTGTTATAAGTGACAGCTGAACTAATGTGTGTAACAAACAGCATTAGTGTTGCATGTTGTTTCATCATTTACTGCATTAAACCACCACACCACCTGCTGTGTTAAAGGCAGGGTTGGTTATTTCCTCCAGATCCACTGTTTAAGGGTTGAAATTGTCTTTAGGTCCTGACAGAAATTAATAACTCATGTTCTCTGAAAAAGGAAAGAGGAAAATCCGTCATCTGTAGCAGTTTGTAAGCCTGTAAAAACTTCAACCAATGTCTGCCACGAGGTACCAATCTGATGAACCAATCACACGCCTCCCTGTCTCCCTGCTGGTTCTCTACCTCTTGGTTCACGAGCCCACACTCAAAGCACGTCACCGATGACGGAGTTTATACTGAGAGTTTATTTACTTAGAGCAGAGGCGCTCGTGCATGTGAGTGAGGGGGCGTGGCTTTTGAGGGAGCACAGAGGGGAGGGGGTGGGTGCAGACGGAGCATTGAGGGAATGCTACTTTCAACATCATGCTAGTTTGCAGAAACTACAAAACCTGCCTTTAATGAACTTGTTGACCCTCAAAAGAGGCTTGGAAGTAAAACATGTATTTACAAAAAAACTAATGTATTTATGGTTCATTGATAGGGACGGACACAAAGTACATGATGAACTGAAAACAACCATCCAATGAAGGTATAGTGGTTAAAGCGGATGCTAATTTGCAACAACCAAAGGACGGACGTACTGCAGAGCACTGACACTGAAAGGCAGAAAAGTTTCCTAAATTTGAGGATAATTTAACATGTATTTTAATTTCTTATTTTTGTTTTATTACTTCAGGATCTGGAAATGTTCTTTTTGTAACCCATCATTAAACGCACCTTGCCTCACCCTTGTGTTTATTCTGTGATTTGTGGGAGAGGAGCTGGAGCTGGCTTATTGTAGAGATAGGACAGTGGATAGTGTCGGAAAGTGAGGAGAACGAAAGAGAGAGAGTGGGGAATAACATGCAGGAAAAGGTGCCACAGGTCGGAATTGAACTTTCATTTGAACTTTCACGCCGCAGTGTTCTCACCTCTGAGCTCATGGAAATACTTCTAGGAGTAAATCAAGAAGTCTTTGTGTGTATGAGGTTTCGACCGCCCCTGAACCATGAAGTCAGGCCCTGCTTCTCTTATTGTGATGGTGTGCTGATGAATGACAGGGGGGTGGGGTATAACCACCTGCCTGGTGTATTGATCCCCCGTTGGATGAGGGCGTTTTTCAGTAATGACCAAGGCGCTTTTAGATGATGGCGAGGGTAATGGATCCGAGGATGGAGAAAAGAGGAGCAGTGGTTATAGTGGGAGGAAGAGGATGGTTTTGATGAAGATGATGAGTAATGATGGTGATGATGAAGGTTGCTGCGGTAACGATGATAACGCTTTAGTGGATGCAGTTTAGGCGGATGGCTCTGATAATGGTGTTGGCGTGGGGAGAAAGATGATGGCATGCCTGTGTATCTGTATGGTTGCACGCGACGGAAAGTAGAGGTAGTGGTCGGACAATAATAATGAGGATGATGATGGTGAATGTGAATCCTGTGCGTGTGTGTGTGTGTGTAATAATGTGTGTTTTAGGAAGTGACGCTGAGCATGCAGCCATCTGTCGACAGATTAATCCTGGCTGTGCTTAGAGATATTACCGGCTGGCTTATCGCCGTGGCAACAAGCCTTCAATCCCAGTCCAGCGTAGCCACCATGTGACCTTGCTGAAGAAGGTGGGTGGGGGTTGGACACACAGATACACACAACTTGCACACACACACACACACACACACACACACACACACAAATAAAAAAGAAACACACACAGAGGTTTGGTAACGTGATGCATCCATGCACACACACTGCTGCATGCACATAAACTGTGCATCCACTGAGAGAGGGATTTAAGGGAAAATATGATTGTGCTCTAAAGGTTTTAATCCTGCTGAAAGGTTTCAGTGTCACCTATCGAGTTCAGAAATGTCATTACGCCGACCAGCTGGGCTGCACGCACTGCTCTGCAAAAAACTGTTTTCTGGCATGCTATTTTTAGACCAGTATCAATAGGAATTGTTGCCACCTTTGTTCGCTCTCCTTCACACCGCAGCAAGCATTTTTCTCATGTCCTAAATCCCATCACTCCCACATCGTCTAAAAAATCCACCCACTCACGTTTTCTAAACACACATTCCACTGTACAGTAAACGCCACACACGCACACTCGCTCGTTTTCAGGTCATAAATCAGCAGGCACGAGGCCAGTTCAGGCTTAATGTAACATTCAAGGTTTTATTCAGTCTTTACATACAGTACACCAGTCAGAAATATACAGTGAACCTTCGACAAAGGTCCGTCAGCTACACTGTAAAACCTGCATTCCACAGATTTTTTTTTAAAATGAGGATTACAAAGCGTGAGCGTGTTTGAGCGTGTGTTTCTTTGTTTCTGTTTTTAGTCCATGCTTTTACATCCGTACAGACACAGCAGAAGATTATGCAGAAGACGTTTGAAGGGCAGGGATATTTGACTATTTTCTCTTATGTATGATCGCCACCGTATGATGCCAAATATTGGCTAAACTTGACGTTGCTTCCCTCGCTCCCCGGACACGTCGGCGCTCAGCTTTCATCCCTCTTACTGTGACATCGACCCTCTCGCACAGCTTACAGACAGACGTCATGGCGTATATGAAGCCGGGTCTTAGCTCAAGAGGTCTTTGAGGATAAGTGGAAAAAAAGGGGAGAGGTGGGTCTGAGGTACGCTCTTCCTCTGCACCACATGTGTGTTTTTTTCTTTCAAATTTAAACCCAAACATCTGCACAGTTCTAGATTTTTGGGAACACAAAGTGAGGTTTTCTCAGGTCATAGTCTCAAATCCAAAAACCGAGCAGTAAGTAAGCAGTCACAGAGCGAGAGAGAGAGGGAGCGAGAGCAAGAGAGGGATGCTCGGGGGCTATTTGGCTTAACTCGACTCTGCCTGTGTCTGCCACTCAGTGTAATTAGATGAAGTAGTCACAATTGATATTATTGCAGATTAGTGGGAGGTTGAGAGGTCCTTTTCTGAACCCACAAATGGTTATAATCCAGACCACAGGAAAGCAGCACCAGTATCCGACAGGGCCGGAGAGGGACGGGGGGAGCGAGGGCCTATTTTTAGAATGAAATGAAAATTACATTGAACATCTGGATAAAAGGAGCTTTAAAACTTACACTTTTCTCTTTCATTAAACACGGTGAAAAGCCTTTTTTCATCGGATACAAGATGCCTGATTTTCAATTAAGATGATTCCCTAATTGCCTACAAATGAACGTGATTAATCTCGGCCCGTGAGTGCACATTATACTCTTTCAAAGTAAAGCGCCAAGTCACATTTTAAATGTACCTCTTTCTTTAAAACTACGGCTTTCAATTTGTATCAAGGAAGAAGCCCTTCAATGTAAAAGAGGGACATGTCCACAAATTCTCAAGGTGGGCTAAACGAGCCCTTCAGGATTGGCTTCTTTTGTCAGTGGTATTGAAGAGTTGAGCTCGATTACGCACCGCAATCCTGAGGAAATCAAATGATTTGCTACTGTTCTGCTTCGTTGGGGGATAGATTCATAAAAACATGCTGCAGGCGTTCACACATGAGCCTCTTTCTTAGTAACAGTCGTTAGTTTTTTATTTTTTATTTTGTAAGAAAACCTGTGTTGCTACATGGCTCGAAGTACGTATTCTAGATTAAGTATTCTCTGCTGCAGTCGTCTGGTTTCATGTTTTCGGTAAAGAGTCCGACCTCAATAGCACCAAGAGGTAAATAATCCGGCTCACAGACTCGTTTTAAAAGTTGGGCTCTACAGTATTAAATAAGATGAAAGTATGCTCATAGACCTTTATATAAGAAGTGGATTCAGCCTCTGGTTTTTAAAATTTGAAGCCAAATTTGGAAATATCTCAAACCTGCATTCTTCCAAATGGCCAGCACTGCACTGGTTGTAAGAAAAATAACAACCGTCCCAATGGGTTTAATGTCTCGATGGCTGCCTTTGATTGACAGGTAACTTACACAGCGTGCCTATCAACCAACATGGAGACCGAGCAGCAATCAAAACAAACTGCAGTTCCTCAAGTGACCACTGGAAGCTGGCTCCAAAAACCAAGCAACCCTCATTACGTCGCGTCTTAAAATGTAAATTTTTACAGCAGAAATTAAGAAGTTTACAGCCTGCTCCACTTCATGGTGGGTGAATTTATTTTAATTAATAAAGCCTAAAAGTTATTTGCATGTTTGCATAATTAAGGGCGTGGCTGAGTTGACTGACAGGTGAGCGCCTTGTACAGTAGCCGTCTCTGCGCCACCTTTCTGCCTGTTTCTAGTTTGATCCAAAGTTAGGTTGAGATAGCATTTCCAATATGGAAACCGCCATTGTGGGGCTTCCAAAGGGTGACGTCACTGAAACTACCACCATGTTACACAGTCTACAATGGAGACAATCTAAAAAGTGGTCACCGGCTTACATGCCAATATCGATGCTTCAAAAAGGCATTTTGCAAACCAATGGCTGACATCATGATGGTGCTGTTCACTTCTTATATACAGCCTATGACATGTAGTTGTTGTCTGTCTATAAAAGTTTCTTGTCTGTTAATGTAGAAACAGCTTTTATTTTTTTCACTAGAAAAGATTGTTGTAAAAGATCAGCATTGTTGTCGGTCCTGAGTCTGCTGTCCGAGTCCTGTACCCCGGTAAGTGTCCACATGCGGAGCGTCACTGAGTTTTGATTCACGCTGAAAATCTTTGAGGCTCTTCATTGCAGGTTGGTGACACATTGTGCGGGGTGCTAAACCCTGGAATGTTGCGGTATCTGACATCTCATGTCAGTGTTTCACCTGTAAGCTAACTACATGTACCCTGTTTTACAGCAGACTGATCGGCTTATAAATTAAACATCTTCTTCTTCAAATATTATAAAGGTTTATATTCAAGTGCAAATTTCTTATAAAATTAGAACATTAATCTGTACCTTGTGGCTTACAGAATATTTTTGGAGTATAGGAACTGAGACTGAGTGTGTTTACATGGACTTGAGTATCTTGGGTTATACGCCTCATCCCAGTTTTGACCATCTTCAGGATATGGTGTTTACATGCACCTTCATGTCCCTGCACACATGGTGAATACTAATATCCATGTTTGTGATTGCAAGCATCTTGTCCAGGAGGTTGTAGCTGGATCAGAACCACTTCTGAAGTTTGGTCACCGTAAGACAAAAGTCAGTTTGCTCCAGGAGTAAGGTGTAGCCAATATCAGTGGTTACCAAAGCTGGGGTCTGGACCCCTAGCAGGTCTATTCAACTGGCAACCCAGGGGCCAACTCCAGCCCGTGGATGACATCAGACTGGCCTTTTATCTAAAATAAATAAATAACTAATAAACAGGGAGGAAAACTTGTGAACGACTGCCATTGTTGCCCAGTAAAGTTTTAAAAACAGCACAGCGCTCCCGTTTATTAGAACATCTTTGGTCCTGTGCTCGCAGTCTATCACAAGCTTGTGTTGTTGATGGAAAAAAAAAAACGGCTTTCGCACACTTTACTGCTGAGGTGGGCTTGCTTGTCTGGTCTCCAGATCCTTAGCTTTCTGAAAATTTGGCACCCTGAACATAAAAGTTGAATAGCCCTGGTCTAGGGGGTCCAAGACACTCAAAGGGTGGGGGGCGCGAGATTCCATATCAAAATGAAAAATGACTTAAAATTGCATATTTTACCCATTATTGTGAAATTAAAAAGCAGTTCAAGAGGTGACTTATTTTCTGCTTCTAGTGTTTTTAACAATTAATTACTAAAATAAAATTACAGTGTTGTGCCAGAGTTTGGAAAGGCCGTTTAGTGCACCCCCGTTTAGTGCACCCCCAGTCTCTAACCCCTTATTTTGGGGGTCGCAGGTCGAAAAGTTTAGGAACCCCTGGCCTATAGGATGCCACAGGACAGGTCCATTTTTAAAAAACTTCTCCAGGTAGCAAAATCGTCATTTCTCAAAATCTGGATATGATGATTAACGTGCTCAAACACAAAATAATGATCTTTAAAAACCCAGATCAGAAGCGGGATACTCAAGTCCGTGTCAACGCACTCAGTGATAACCTGTAAGTGGAAGTTTGAACATCTCTGAGTCTGTGTTTTCTGCCTGAATCTGTATCATCTGAAGAACCGGGTGATCCATATACACACTTGGCATCAAGACGTTATAGCTTCGCTCCACAGTTTGAACTAAAAAAAAAAAAAAATTCCTGTAGAAGAAAAACATAGAAACATGCTGTCATAGCCATTACACATGCAGTTAGAAATAAAAAACAGTCTTTGAAAATTAATGAAGTTTTGCATATCACTTTGGCAAGGGAAGAAACATAGTGTTTTTTTTCTGCTAGTCTTATATTTTGACATTCTACCCTTGATTTTTACACGTTACAAAAAAATTGTTCCTTTACATAGAAAAAAAAACATCGTTCTTTTTTGATATGTCACTGCACAAAAAGAGCAACAGACAACAAAATGAATCCACAAGTCAAAAAAGATAAGCAAATGAGAAAAAAAAAAAGTTGCATAATTCATTTCACATTGACAAATAGAAAAAAAAAGAGGAGACCGTGTGAGGGGTGGGGGTGGGAGTGGTGGACTGTCGGAAGAGCTGGGGCGTGCTTCTCCTTCACTGTTAAAAGTTCAGGAGCTGTGCAAACACTGGATGAATGTAAACCCAAGAAGACCAGGACACATTTATGGCCCTCTGCACCCTCGCACTGTGTGTGTGTGTGTGTGTGTGTGTGTGTGTGTGTGTCCTGAATGAAACCAGACATAACAGCAGAATCCAACAGGGAGTGGACCTCATGTAAGACGCTCTTCCTGCATTAAGATTTGCTTGTTTTTCCTTGAATGGATATATGTGCAGCGTTCACTAAAAATAGTCGTCACCATAGCATTGACCTGTGCCCTGCGGAGATTAGATCTGTTCTGCACAGCGACCGCGTACAGCACAGGACATCGGCTTGGCCTTAAAGCTCAAGGTTGACGTTTAAGCCTCTCCTCCAGAAGCACAGGGTCTCAGCAGCGAACGAGGGAAGCCGTGATTCAGCCCCGTGGCGTACAGTATGGCATTCTGGCGTCGCCCCGTGAGCTCTTATTGGTCCTTCTTGGCGCACACAATAGAGTGCCGGATCCCTTTGAGCCACGGGGATCCTCAGAGGAGTCTAAATCTGGGGATAATCACCTGTAAGAATCACGGAGATTATGGCAGTCAAAGGAGTGAGAGAGAGTTTGATGGATCACTCTCTTATGTCGGCTGTTGTTGCAGAGCGTGTTTATCCTCCACACAATCTGTTATATAACGTGGTGTCATGTCTCGGTATTTCCAAAGCAGCTACAGCGGTTTAAATACACGTATTTCTCCTCTTAAAAAAACTACAAAAATAAATAGGAGGGGAACATTTTGAACCTAATGTGGAGCTGAAGTGATTCGCTTTAAATGTTGGCAGTGCATTTCATTTATTTCTTCCTTTTTCTTGGAAGTTAAGTCGCTTTGCTGACTTGTAGGATTCCTTCTCTACTTCTCTACATCACGTTTCCTTTTATCGTACCCTTACTATAAGGACTGAGGAGTTCTCCAAAGGCATTGTGGGAAATGAAGGAAATCACAAAGCTAAGCTAATATAAGGCAAGTTAAAAAAAAGTTAAGTAGCAAAATCAGAATGTCCAATTTCATACAGTTAATGCTGGGATATATCGTGCTGTAGCTGCGAAGTGTGTGTGTTGTTGTTGTTTTAATGCATTCATACAACGTGTCGTACAAATGACATTAGAATTAGCACTGGCTTTGCGCTCAGGAGCTGAAACGTTTGTGCATCTGTCCTGTCTCTATGGCAACAGTCTGTTGACAACAACTACTGTATGGCCGACACTGCTCTGTTACTTTTTTATATTAGCCTATGTTTGTTTTTAGATCGTTTTACCTGCAGACACGGAGCAAAGAGGACATGGGTACAAGACACGATGCAGAGCCTATAGGCGGCCAAAATACGGGAAAAACATACATTTGGAAAAGAGTACTGATGACGTCAACAGCGCCTTTCTGAAAAGTTGACAGATTTTCAACTTGAGGGGCGCTGGGGGCCAAGTGGATTGGTGCGTGCCCTGTGGGCAGATGATATTGTTCTCGGGGGAGCGGCCCAGGTTCAGGCCCAATATGTGGCTAGTTCCCCGCATGTCTTTCCTGTCGTTCGCGCTCCTCGATTTCTGACTCTGCCCACTGTCGGTGTGATTTCTATCCGGACAGGTAACGCTCACTACTCATTAAAAACAATTGAAAAAAAAAAGACGTTGCCGCTCAGTGAACCCGGGCCCTTAGTCAGTAATCAAACCTGCGATTGTGGCAGTGCTAAGCTGCTGCAGTGTTGAGCTTCTTGCAAGGCCTTTCAGTTTGACGTGTTGGTGATTGTGGAGTCGGGGTTAAAGCTGCGGTATGTTGAAGACCGAGAGGATTTTAATCAGTATTATCAGTGCGAGTAAACCATCTCATTGTCGCAGAGAGCTGCTCTGAACAGACAACATCTGAGCTTGACATGAGCTGATTTGTGTCTGTTTATCACAGTCTGCAGAGTCCTCAGTAACAGGACAACACCATGCAGGTCTAGTGTGTGTGTGTGTGTGTGTGTGTGTGTGTGTGTGTGTTGAATAATTCAAGAAAGATGTTTTCCACTGAAATGTCTGGTTTCACTGGCCTGCAGTGCGACTTGTTTTAAATTATGCATTTCTCGGATGTCTGATCCCAACACGACTTCCTTCAGTCCGCCACTCTCCCACATGTCTTCATTAATCAAGATGCAACACCCTCCATCATATTTTTCCCGTTTTCTTTCAGGTCATTCTTCATTCTTTACAAGGCATGCATGTTGAAATCCAATCGGGGAAGAAATGCAAAAATTAAAAACCACCGCGATTTCAAAAACACAACTTTCCCTTTAGAGTCACTATACTCATCGGTTACATATCTGATCATTCAAGAAACATCACGTCGTGTAAACATGCCTTTTTTTTTTTTCAAACGGCTCACAGGCCGCGGCGGCTTGAAGCTGTGCAGCTAATTGAGAAGGAAACCAAGGCTCTCTGTGGAAAACACACCAAGAAAAGTAATGTAACAGTGGCAATAAATATGTCCTTAAAAGCTGCAGATAAAAGAATCAGCTGCACAGCCTCACTGCGCTGCACTCGTCCCCCCTGTCCATGATGGTCATCAGTCCCGTCAGTGAGATGTGCATCAAGCTAATCCAAAATGAAAGGAGACAGTTTATACATAAAAAAAAACAAAAAAAACAGCAACATCACGTCCCGACCAACCCGCCGCAGAGATAAATAAAATCTATTTGGATATATTCTAAATGGATAAATATTAATACCATGATATACTCTATATAACTTCTCAACAATAATTAAATATCTTAAGGATGGCACCATCGCTTTCTCAAAGAAAAAAAAAACATAACTCATGGTGATATATTTTATAAAAGTAATAAAGTGATCCTCCTCTTCACGTCTCTCCCTCGTCTCTCAGCGCGCTGGAATGCTGCGCCGAGGGAAGTATGTTTTGTGCTTCAGGAGAGAGACTGATGTTTACACTCGACGGGTCATCCCATTAGTTTGCTAGTTCCTCTCCAAAGTTTTCACAGAAAGAGAGCAGCGAGGGTCATGACTGTCATGTGACGCCTCTGCGTTCTATGTGCGTAGCTGCCAACCGTGGAGAGCAGAGAGAGCGAGCGGGGGAGAGGGTAGGGGAAAAAGTGTTTATGCTACTCGCTCGCTCTTGTTTGTGTTAAAATCCTCTTTTGCCAGGAGACAAAACATAAACATCGTCAGTCTTGTCCTCATGGTTTTGGCTTGTGACGACGTTTCAACAGAGGCGAGGATGACACTGATCAGACGCAGCTCGTTCTCTCCTGGCTTGGGTCAACACTGAGTCTCCGGCGTTGACAGGAAGCAAAGAAAAACCATCCTTTGGTTGTGTCATCTGTTTTTCTCCAGAGCGTGATGTCTCCCTAACGCTCACAAACTCACCTTCTTCTTCTCGGGTCCGTCATCGCTCTGACAGTTCTTCCGTTCCGCTTTTAATAATGTCGCTGCTCATCCTCCCCGTCCCATTTCCTATCCTGTCTTTTCCTTTTTCTTTTTCTTTTTTTTAATCGAGGCTGACACAATCCAGAAGAAAAGCACCATGAATGCATCAAACACCGCCATCATCTTCCAATATCCCCCAAAGAATACAAAACAGCCTCTCATCTCTCACCTCCCTTCTTTTTCTCATCATTTTCTAGTCCGTTCCTCTCCAGCCCCTCGAGGATCCAGGTCCTCACTTCACAAGAAAAGAAGGGGCGGGGGAGGGAGCAATTAGTCAAAGAAAGAAAAACGTATAAAATGGCAGTTGAATGTTCTCCCTGTGAGACCATAATGTGTTCATCGTGTTCAGCTTTTGGTCCTCTTTAATCCTCTCTCTCTTTGTAATAGTCTTCTTCCTCTTTTCTTTAATGACTCATCAAGTCCTGGAGCCAGAGGTTTGGTCTTTAAATTCAGTTTCATTCCTTGAGCACAGAGGAGAGGTCATCTTGTTTGACCTCTCCATCATCTTTATTAAATTAAAATCATAATTAATTCATATCCTTGTCCCACTCCTCCTCCTTTTTCTTTTCTTCATCAGACATAGGCCGATTCGCTGGACTGTGTGCGTCCCAGATTGGGTGGTTGGGAAAGATGTGCCATGTCCTTCTTCCTGATCTCACAGATAGACTTCCTGCGGGCCTGGACGCCCCTGATGGCGGCCTTGATCTTGCGCCAGCCCAGATGGTTGAGCTCGGCCAGGTTGAGGACTACGCAGATACCGCTCACTGCAAACATGAAGACCAGGAAAACCGTTTTTTCCGTGGGGCGAGACACGTAGCACTCCACCTCTTTCAGACACGGGTAACGGTCACATTCGAAGATCCCGGGTACGCTAAAGCCATATAGGAAGTACTGGCCCGCCAGGAAACCGATCTCCAGCGCGTTTCTGAACACCACCTGGATGATGTAAAAGCGGGAGATCCCTTCTTGCCGGCGCACCTTAGAGCTCTTTCCATGAGTGAGACCACGGGGGGCGTTTGGGATCTCCTTCACCTCCAGGCAGTCTGGCTCTTCCTTCCCTCCTCCGCCGTCACCGCCATGTTGAACAAGTATCCCGTTAATGTTGCGAAGCTTTCGCGCCCCGTCCCTTCCCCCGTAGTCCCTCTCCATGATGGGATAGAGAAAAGAGTAGCGGCGGTCTTTCTGCTTGGCCGACTGGTGGACGGAGTAGGTGATGAAGCAGAGGCTGGGCGTGCACACCAGAATGATTTGGAAGACCCAGTAGCGGATGTGTGAAATGGGGAAGGCTTTGTCATAGCAGGCCTGGTTGCAGCCTGGCTGGAGAGTGTTGCAGATAAACATGGTCTGCTCATCCTCATACACGGTCTCCCCAACGATGGCCACGATCAGGATACGGAAGATCACCACGACTGTAAGAAGGATCCTGCAGGAGAGAGAGAGAGAGAGAGAGAGAGAGAGAAATGGGGTTAATCGTCGGAAATGCAGAGTGATTTACTGTGTCAGGAAGAATTAGATGTCCTCAGATATCCTTCCCCAGAAGAGCCTCTTCAGATGTGTTGAGTGTGAGAGGACAGAGACGTACAGCAGGAGAGACAAATGAAGGGGCTGGAAGAGGACGGGAGCTTTGAGTGGAGTAAAAAATGGATCATAAAACATCCTAAATGTCAGGGACCAGAAACATACTAAATGTCAGTTTGCAAAAAGACAAGCAGAGCTTTAAGGATTTTTCACATCCTAAAGGATATGATGAAGGAAGATAGATTCATTTTTGTTATTTTATGGGATGAATCCTGATGAAGTTTTTGCACCAAATTCCACATGATTGATTTTGACTAAAAGGATTTACAGTAAAATCTGCTGTAAAGACGCAATTTTTAATACCTCATTTTTTATTTTAAAAGTTGGCTGCGTCTTATACAGCGGTGCGACCGATATACCAGTGAGCTCATTAATTACCGTGGCTGCAGAAGCCACCATCAATGCAAGCAACCTGACACAATTAAAAAAAAATCATCCTCATTCATTGTGTATTGAACGCTGATTGCACGCTGTGCTGGGGAAGACAGCGACGCAGACCATTCTGGCTGTGCGATCTTCTCTCCCTCTTGAGGTCATAATCATGCATTTACAGAAAAACAGTGATATATTGTTCCGTAAATAAACCTTTTGATTGAAAGTGAAAGAGTGATCAGCAGAGTCGGGCAGAGAGCTCGCAAGCTAGCTTGTCTGTGTTTCACAACTTTCCACTTTTGGCTGATAGCTCGACTATATACAGAACTAAAAGAGTGACGCAGACACCTTCAAAAACAAGGTGAGTCCGGTACTTGGAAGTGCCAACCTTCAAGGTTCAGAGCCAGAGGGTTTTAATGTGAAGGATGACTGCGTTGCAATTTGCAGAGTTACTAGCTTCATCTATGTAACTGCCACCACACAAAGAACAACGGATGGCCAACAGTTATGAGAAAAAGTCAATTGTTCAATTAATTACGTCCCACTCGCAGCAGATGTAACGAGCTTGCTGGACCATCAGAAGTAACTATTCATACACATTCACACGCCACAAACGAAGCAGTGGGAGCAACTTGGGGTTAAGTGTCCTGCCTAAGGACACATTGTACATGGGGCAGCAGGAGCTGGGGATCGAAACCACCCAACATCGGTTGACAGACGAGTGACTCTACCAACGCAGCCACAGATCCCATATTGTCCTCATGTTCACCTTTCATGTTGTCAGTCTGTGAAACAATAGAGCTTGGATGCAATTTTCCATTTGAAGAAGAAGGGGTAAAATCTTGATCATTCTGGTTGGTGGTGCTTGCGGAACGCCCTCGTGCAATTCTAGCCAACACCTCCTGGGAACAAACACTAGACACTTTTCAACACCTCATGTTTTTAAAAAAGTGGCCGAAACCTCAAACATTTATACTGTTCATACTAAATGTGACATCAAATTGAATATGATCCCAAATAAATTTTGTGTATGCGAGAAATTCCTGGATGTTTACTCTCAGACAGAGCTCCCCAGCCAAATAATATTAAATGACTGCGTAGCTGTGTTAGCATTTCAAAGCAAATGCAGGAACTCAGAACAGACATTAACAGTCAGGCCAAACAAAGAGAAGTCTACAAAAATGATGCAAATACAAATCATAAGAAGCTAGCTCATCAAACAGAGCATGATCTGAAGTATGTCGCGGGACCCGTATTTTAGTATGTTGCTAACGACATGCTAACGGTCGCGGTTAGTGTACAGTTTATATAACACAGCCTGTCTCTGATTTTTCAAAGACCACTAGTATTAAAATGTATCGTATCTTTATAAAACCTCCAGATCTTAAGACACATTTTTTACCTACAGTTGCCACAAGCGAAAATGCGATTATTGATGTTTCACTCCAATTTACAGGTCAGCAAATACGCAAACCCCGACCTTTCTGAAGCCCTCAAAAAGATGTGAAAGTTACGAGGATGTCTCTGACAAATATACAGAATGCAGAAAATTGCACGAATACATTAGCAATGCTTCTGTACTGAAATACTGGAAAAGCATTTGTGCAATGTAGCACACTGTGCAGGAGATTACTAGAAGGTGTTTCCATTGTGTCCAAGCAGGTATCTATAATGTTGGTATTGTGACAACCTTGGCGTACACAGTATTACATCTGGGCGGTACTATAACAGAAGTATGAGGGTGCAAAGGCGCTCTGGGGGTAATACGAGGACAATCTGATAAAGGATACCAATCAAGAGTGGGAAAAATAAGCGAGAGTTCATGCTGAGAGGACGGATTTGAAATTGAAATCACAGCAGGGCGCCTGTGAAGGGATTGTGAACTCCTTATTAATCAGAAAATAGAAGTGAGAGACAGGCAGAGAGCGGGAGAAAATAAACTCCGTGCTGGTGATGGAGAGGGACATTGTGTTAGCGTTCAGTTGGTGTTCCTCCCCAATAAAAACCAGAGAAGAAGAGCGCCCAACAAAACTCAATCCATCAGCCGTGAGTAAACACTCCAGGAGAAAGCTCGGTTATGAGCGGAGCGTGGATGTGTCGTCAGCGATGATCAACTCTCGGCTGTGATTCAACTTAATGTGTGTTTTTGTGAAGGTGTGTGCCGGTTGAAACACGTGAGGCGACACATCTGCTCCAATTTTGGTGTCTTTTGCGTCATTAGTCCCAGTTACCACGGCAACCTTACAGTCACTTAGGTTGCAGGTGTGATTAGTTTTGACACATCCAACCGCACACACACACTCTCTCTCTCTCTCTCTCTCTCTCTCTGCCGTTGTCATTATAAACAACAGCCTGCAGGTTCTCTCCCGTCCTTTACTGCCATGGCAACAGGTGAGAGAATGAGTTGAACATTATTTGCAGGTTTGGTACCACCTCTGCTCGGGCTGCGGCCGAGAGATATGGCGAGGTTATTTTCTGCTGAAATTAGCTCCACTTCAGTTCACCGTGTGTGCATGTAAATGTGCGTCTATTCTTAGGCTGACATAACATTTCTGCACACCCCTGTTCTGTTTCCTTTCGCGCAGACATCTCTCTTTGTTCTTTTCTTACTTTATTCATGTCTCATTTATTTTTAAGATCTGAGACCGAGCGAGCACTTTAGTAAGCAGCTCTTTTTGCTCCGTGCGTTCCCGTTGGTTGTCTTGCACCGTGTGGCTAAACAAAGTCTGGATCCAGGCTGCAGACCACACACAGCCCTGGACATCGCTGTTAATTTGCTGATTGATTGTTGCCTCGCATCGCAGCCAGACAGATATGACGGAGTTCAGACGGACTCCTGCATACCGTTAAGATCAACTCCCACTAATCACCAACATTTATATTAATGATAATCCCATAAATGATAAATCTCTGTCATTACTCTATATGAACGCAGAGTACACATCCTTACAGTGGCCCGTCAAAACCTAACCTCATTACATTAATCATGGTTTTATGGGAGTTTTGTGCATACAAAGTCAATAGATGCTGACATATAAGAACGGCTTTGGAGGCGGAGCTGACAGGCGCCGCGGCCCGCTGCAGGATGAGCATGTCACAGAGCGTTTAAATGTAAAGATAAATCTTCATAGCAAACACACTGCGAGTGTTTTTACTAAAATGACAAACTACGTTTACATGTTGGTGTCTGAAAAGGAGCCTGAGTCACTTCTGCATTATCTCTCTACAGGCCTCAGGTCTGAGTGAAGCCAGCTGCATCACAAGCGAAAGCACACGACTTGAATATGTGCAAACTATTCACTAGAGAAGGAGGCAGGAGACGCTAAAACACTGATGGTCTGGACCACAAAATTCAACTTTAAAGGCCCTGACACACCAAGGAGATCATCGTCCGTCGGCAGGGGCGGTTCTAGACCACTTTTAACCAAAACCAAACTGGGGCCAGTTGAGGGAACATTAAACCCAGGTGAAAAATAGACAAAGATGATCGCTTTAAAATATATATATTATGCCAAATAATAGCACACATCACTAAATACCACAACATAAAATACCATGATTTATATTTGTTTCAGTAACATTATTTAATTCTAGATTGTGAGTTCCGTTGTTGAGTCAAATACTGTGTATGTGTTATGAGGGGGGGCTCTTCCTTTTGGAGGGGTGGCTACAGGGGGGACCATGTTCAGTGTTTACATGGGCACTGGCCCCCGCTTGCCCATGCCTAGAACTGCCCGTGGGCCATTGGCCCCGCCGAGCGGGGGTCATCGGCCATCGGTCCTAGTTTTTGCGATGCGTCCAGCTTCGTAGTTTAACCCGTCGGCTCCCGTCTGCCATTTTTTGGAAGATTTTTATGATGCTTTGTGACGCTTTCCATTTTTATTTAGAACTCATTTAAGGAAAGTCATTTTCAGTGAAGCTCCTCTAAGTGGGGAGTGGGCAGGATTTTTTTTTTTTATAAGATGTGTTTTGGGGCTTTTTGCCTTTATTTGATAGGAGAGCCGACAGAGTAGGACTTCGGGAGAGAGTGGGGAATGAGAGGCAGATGGTCAGACTTGAACCCGGGCCGCCCACTCTGAGGACTATAACCTCCGTACATGTGGTGTGACCTAACTATTTGCGCGCCCAGAGGGACAATTTTACACAATTTTCTTCCCTGACAGCTTTCCATTTAAAATCCTCCTCCTGTAATTCTTTCCTCCATTTCACCTGCAGCGCTCCCTCCAGAAAAGTCTGGCTTTTTAAGAAGTTGTCACTTCAGAGAACCCGAGGCCAATTCGTTGTTTTTTAGAGACAATTTACATTCAGCGGAGATTTATCAAACTCAGTTGCTTATCTGGACACCATTGTGACTGAGCAGTGAATCTGTAAGGGAAGGGAGGGAGGGCGGGCTTTTTCACTGCACTTTAGATGTTGCCAGATAATCATTAGATGGCATTTGGCTGTGTGAAGGGTAATCTACCAATCGCGCTG